TCCAGGCGATTGTCGGTGGGGAAGGCGTCCGTCCTAGGGAGAGGTAGGAAGGGGAGCATGGTTAGCCCTGCTGCGCCTTTGCTTTAAGCATCGCTATGCCCAGCAGCTGTGGCAGGAGACCCTATCCAAAGGCAACCAGTGGTTTGGAGGGGGCCGTGCCCTAATTGCCTCCATGATCCGGCTGCTGCTCCAGCACCTTTTCCAAGCTCAGCCAGGTGCCTCCCTCCATCCCATGAGAAACCACAGGGTGCTAACCAGGACATGGGGCAGCATCCTCCCGCTACTGCTCGGCACCCCCCGCTCATCCCACCTACCTCTTCAGGGCTGAGCTAGGTGCGCCGCCCCCTCTGCCGCGAGGCTTTCCTGCTGGATGCTGCGGGCTGCGCTTTCTTCTTGTCCAGCTTCTGCATCAGCTTCTGGACGGCCGTGTCGGTCGGGGAGGCGCAGATCTTCTTATTCTTCTTGGTGGTGAACCTGGGGGTCGAGGCAGAAAGGTTTGCTGTGGGGCTGCTATGGAGGTGGACGGGAGGCTACAGGGGTGACAGGTCGGGAGGACCCAACTGCTCTGGATGGCTCCCACCCAGCCAGGGTACTCACACAACGGCACGCAGCAGGCAGCCTGAGTCAGGTCCCTGTAGGCTGTAGGACTTCACCCAGCCATGCGGGATGACCTTCCTGCTGTTCTTCAGGCAGCAGTCGGAGGCTTGGCTGCCTATGCCTGGGGGACAAGGGGGGACACGTGGGATTTTAGACCTGACCCGGGGCAGCTTTCCAGCACTGCGGGACCGTAACGTGGCCAGCTCAAGGTAAGGGAACCACAGCAGGTCTTGCAGAAAGCCCCCGTTAGGAGTAACCCCTTTGGTGGTGGGGGCGAGCATCCACAGGCTCAGGGCTCTGCCCTCCGGGGATGCACGTCGGTGCCATCAGCACCAGAGAGACTGGAGAGGTGCTGGGGCAGCCACGTGACGATGGGAGCCCTCAGCCCCCACTCCCTGTTGCAGGTCAGACCCTGCCCCAGGGAGACGAAACGCCAGGTTTTTTGGTGAGGAAACTGAGGCAGAGAGGGGCTCCTTGCAAAGGAGCTGAAAATCATTCTTCTGCCCCTGCCACCCACCGCCACCACTGCCCTGCCAGCCACAACTGCTGCTTCTCCCTGGCCTGAGGTAAGCAGGGCAGTCCTCAGGGGAAGAGCTAGCGCAGCACGCGCACACACGTGCGCGCACACACATGCACTCACACCGCGTGGGAACGCATGGCAAGCACCACCGGCGTACTGCAAGCCAGCCGCGCACGCGCACCCCTGACCGTGAACGCACTGCAAACGCTAAGCGCCGACTACCACAGCGTGCAACGGCA